CACGGGGTGTTACAATATGTATGATCTCGTATTTTAATTATGTCTAGAGCCCTAGTGTTTATATCGTGAATTTCGTATTATTGTGTTCTTGGTATATTTGGGTGGGATTATACATGATCGGGTGTTGAGTTTAGCTTGGGACTTGTATTTAGGACATTGAATATAGATTGCTTGATGTTCTTGTGGTTCCGGATGCTCCTGAACCGTTATATGATTTATGTTGGGTCTTGGCATGTTTACAAATTGTGTTAGAACGTGTTTGGTATAATTATTGGTTTAATTCCGTTAATTGAATCCGTGGTGTTGTCATTATGTGTTTGAATGTGTCTGGTTATGGTTTCGGGTTCCACGAGAGATCCCGGGACCAAAAATTTGCCTGTGAGTTAGTGGGGGGATAGGTGGGGGCAGGGGTGCCCGCCACCTACCCGCTGCCCAAAGACACTATTCCAGCGGGCGGTGGTCTGCCCGCCGGCCACCCGCTGGAATGGCAAGTGGCCGTGACCACCCGCCACCGTGACCACCTGCCACCTACCCGCTGGAAAAGGTGTGTGGCTCGTGATGTTTTTTCCCGTTTGTTGTTTTCCCGTGTCCCGTTATACCCCGTTAGTCGTGTGTGAGTCTCGTTTGGTGTTTTGGGTATCGTTCTAGGAATTTATGTGTAATACGTGTCGTTGTTGTGTCTTAATTGTTATTTGATTATGTGTTGATTGATTGAATGATGATGAGTATCGTGGTCATTGCGCAATGGCCGGTGTGAATGACGACGATGATGATGATGAGATTGTGATTGGTGGAAATGAATTGTTGGCCGTTGGCACCACTTGTTCCCGGTCATTGTACTAAAGGTACAGGCCCTAGCGGTTACTGTGCTAAAGGCACAAACCCACCTTCGACTAGCTTGCCGTTGAGCATGGGTCAGGTTATAAGTGATGCGGTGTCATGTCAGAGCTATATGCGCTGACCCCTTGATATTGGCACTAGAAGTGCTGATCATGTGAATGGCACTGCGGCACCATCTTGATATGTTGGTGGTTTGTTGGTGGGGGCATGTAGTTGCCCGGAGGAATGAGGGGAGGCGGTATAAGGGTGACCTGGAGGTATAGGTTAGAACTGATATAAGGACGGAGGGGAGATACAAGGTTGGAACTTGGTATAAGGTTGGAAGATGGATTGCGTGCTTTGTTGATTACTTGCTAACTGTCTTGAATGTCTTTGTTGCCTCTATTTGTTATTTATATGCTTATCTGCCTGTCATGTCTCGCAACGTGTTCTTAGGACGCATGCTAGCCTTTTAGATTATTATATACTGTTGAGTCTGTTAATGTATCTTGAGTCTTGATCTTGGATTTAAACTAGAGTATCGTAAGTATATATGTATTCCAGTTTCAAAATGAGTTTCTTATATCTACCTATATTGTACTTAATGTGTTGGAGTGGGTTACCAGCATTATTCGCTGACGGTTGTTACACTGAATGTTTTTCAGGTGATGAGCATTAGCTGCGGAGCGCGCTAGTCAGAACCTTGGACTTAGTTTAGTTAGCTCTAGTATAGTAGATGGCCTGCGTGCCTTGGGTTGTACTTGTATATTGACTTACGAATTAAATATGTATTGGTTAGTATAGCCTGTGCACCTAGGTTCTCAAACCTAGATGTGGCATAGCACCCCGACTCTTATGGATAGTTGTATGCTCTACTTGGGATAATTAATGTTAGTTGCGTTATTTATATAAGCCTTAATTATTTTAAAAATTAGGGGTGTTACAAGTATGGCCTTAAGAGCTCTCCAGATTTAGCTCTTGATATTGGTGGATTCCATGAGGGTTTCCCGTAGCTTCCTTTAGTCATCCTTAACCGTATAAATCAAATTTCTTCTAAATCGGGGCTTATGGGAGTTTTAAGAATCAAATTAGCATCCCTTGTTTCGAAAATGTCATGTAATAACTTGGGAATCTATTTCTGAGAGACCTGGTCTATCAAGTCTACAACCTTGAAATCCATAAGATGGGGATCCGAAACAGTAGTGACTTTCGGATCAGTATCATCAAGTAGCCAAGAATGTTTTGAAACACTGGTGGTTAGCCCGTTACCAAATCTGCGCCTACAACCACTTCTGACAAGATTTTGACTGGCTAATATACTCCTCTATACGTAGCTTGGGTCACTCCCAAGATTTACTTCTAAGAAAGAAACCTTGGCGAAATATTAATAACGAGCCTTAAAAACTAGCACTACCAAAGAAGCAGAGTTGCCAACTACCAAAGAAACAGAGTTAGTCAAGAAATGTCATCGTTCTTACCCAATTTTGTAGGATAACACATCTTATCCCAGGCTAGCTAATGGATACCACTCGTCCTGCCCCCATTACTCCACAAGAACTTGTTCATTAATTTTTCCAGGGCTCACAGAACGTAAATGGCAGAAGGAAGATACTCATAGAGTAAGTGGGCAGGGCTTGAGTCACACTTTTAAGTAAGACTTCCTTACCCGCCTTAGTTAGTACCTTTTATTTCACGACCCAAATCTATGCCCTATTTTCTTATTAATATATGAACAAACTCACCTTTTTATTCTTTCTAGCCACGGAAGGCAACCCTAAATATTTGCCAAAATCATCAGCCTGGGTAATCCCCAAAACTGCAGCCACCATCCCCTCACAACCTCCCTAGTGTTTCGGCTAAAAGAAATATTCGGACTTGTGATAATTAACCGTCTGCCCCGAAAATATCTTGTAGGTCTATAGACACCTCTTAATTTCCAAAGTTTCCTGCATGTTTGCTTTTAAAAAAAAAATAAGAGGTTGTCATCAGCAAAAAATATATGGGCAATAGGAGGAGCACCCCAAATCACCCTACATTATCTCCATGAATAGAGTATTTCGCTCCCGCTTCCTGTGATAAGAGTGATAAAACCTCAGCACAAATTATGAATAGGTAGGGAGATAGTTTGTCCCCTTGATGTAGTCCTCGGGAGGAAATACTGACCTAAATCGGGCTACCATTAACAAGGATCCTATATCTTACCGAAGGAACACATAGCATGATCAACTTGACCCACTTTTCATCAAAATTGAGTCCTTGCAGCATACACCTCACAAAGAACCATTCCATACAATCATATGCCTTAGCCATGTCTAACTTTAGAGCTGTCCATCCTACCTTCTCAAGCATTACAAGTTATTAATGAATTACTTTAAAAGAAAATATTTTTATGATTTTCTAGTGGTATATACTCTAGGTTTCACATTTAAAATAAAATATTATATCTCATTATTTAGACCCACTCGAATGATAATTGATCTTGAGACGTTAAAATCTCACCTTGTACTCAGTTAGCAATTCTATGACTTTCTTTGAATGAAGGTCACAGGATCGAACCCCGGTGGTGAAGTATTGACTCTTTGTGCTGCAATAGATAGAAAAAGTATAGAACAAATACTACCATTAAAAGTTTATTTGAAAAATGACTTTCTGAAGTTATTTTTCAAATTTTTTGGTGTGTAACTATTCAAATAAAATAAAATCAACGAAAATTAATTATCGTAATCAAAGGAAAATAATGCTCATTTTGGTAAAAAAAAAATGCATTTTTATATTTTACTTGACATTTTTTAGATCCTTTCTTCCCCGACTCTCTCTCTCTCCTTTCATGCTTGACACTCTCAAACTCTCCTCCATTACTTGCCTCACTCTTTACTCAATAGTTTTGCCATGCACTCGAGTCCACCTTGCAATGTAGACTCGGATCCAAAATACACAATTTATATACTGAATGTTCACAATTTTGTTCACAGTTTAAATTGTGAATATTCAATATGTAAATTGTGAACATTTAATATATAAAATTGTGAACATTCAGTATGTAAATTGTGAACATTAAGTATATAAATTATGTATTTTTAAACTCAGATCTACCTCGCAAAATGGACACGGGTCCACGGAATAATTTGCCCTCCTCACCAAGAGTGGATCAAGTCCAAATATGTACTCTTTCTTTTCTTATTCTTCTTCATTCTTTTTATTTTAGTCTTTAAATCTAAGATGTTGTATGTATGTTTAGGCTTTCTACCTTTGGGTTTTTTTTTTTTTTTTTTTTCATTTGAATTTTGTTAGGTGCCTGCTAGAAGGCAGAAACCAAATTTTTTGATAATTGTATTAATCTTTTTTTTTTTAATTGTATGAATAAATGGATAATTAATATTTTATAAGAAATAATTTTGAAATAAATCTTTGTTTGTTTTTCGAAAGATGAGTTAGTTAAACAAAATATAATATTCTCTCCGTCCATTTTTTGAGTATCCCCATTGAGATTTAAACTTGTGACCGCACATTTGAGAGAGTCACAAATAAGCTACTTGGCTTTAATTAAGTTTAGTATTAATATATTAAATATATATATATAAAGGAAAATACTACTACTCAAAAATTCTACTCTAACTTATACTCACAATATTTTGATAGTGGCATTTTCATTGAGACCCATAAGATGAAAATAACTAATCATCAATTGTCACATAGGGGAGTAGAAATATGAAGTAGAACTCATTTAGAAATTATATTAAAAGTACTATTAAACACACAAAAAATTAAATTTAAAAATAATTAAAATTACTAAAGAAAATAATCAATGAAGAAAGAATTGATTTGACTAATGAATAGTAAACATGACAAACAAAATTGGAGAAAAGGAGTAATTGATACCATTTTAAACAAAACAGAAAAAGAAGATTTTATGATTTTGAACCAAATATCACAAATTAAAAATGTATCATTCCCTAAAAAACTTATTTTCCAAGGTTTCAAATAATCCAAAATAAATATTTGATTGAATTTGACTTCTACCAAATACAAAAAAAAAAAAAAAAAACTTCGCACTACAGCTAATCCTTGGCATCCACCAAAACCATATGAATTAGTAATTTGCTCCCCTAATCAGATTTTAGATTCCTTTTAAATCAATAATAGAGAATATACACTTTCTAAATTAATTTATGCCAAGTACAGATGTGCTTCAGAAATTGACAGCCAAACCACTGTTGCTATACCAAACCAGACTTCTTCTACTCTGTTTCTGGAAGCAATTTCTCAAATCCCCACTGGGATTCGCCAAGATTTCATTTTCTTCCCTTCTCTTGAGCTGTCTTAGCAAATAAATCCCAACTTTTCAAGAAAAGTCTTTGACATAACTACCCAGTCTAATGACATTCCAACAATTTCTTCTCCCCCTTTGTTAATCTCAATTCTCAGCTCTTTCTCTTTGTTCTTTTGTACAGAAAACCTTTAAAGCTCTGATCTTTATTTCTTTCTGGAGACAATCAGTACTGATTGCCTTCTCCCATAGTCTTGGGTTGAGAATGAGGAATTTCAGATTGGGATTTGTTTTGCTTCTTTGTCTTGCTCCTGCATTTGAAATTGGAGCTTTCAAGTTTCATAGTAGTCGTCATACAGAGAGAATAGAAGGTAAAGACTTCGATTTTTCTTCCTTCTTTTGTTACATTTTACAGGGTTATTTTGATTATCTGGGTTTCATGAGTGTTTGGGCTTCAATTCTCTTGCTTGATTTGGTGTTGTCTTGTCTAATAACTTCTACGCATCTGAGCCATCACCATTGAAAGCTAGGTTTTTTTTTTTTTTTTTTTTTTTTTTTTTTTTTTTTTTTTGGTGATTTGCCTTTAAGTTTGGGACTTTTTGGACTTCTTTTTATTGAGAAATAAGTTGAGATTCACATGTTTCTTGTGTTTGAGGATTGTGGTCATAGTTTCATTTTAGCTTTTTTAAGGTACTTTTGAACTGAAGCTTTATATTGATCATGTTGAGAATTCAGTTGTTATCTTTGTGATAAGTTCAAGCTTAGATGCTTCCAAGCTTGTTCTGTGCTAGACATGATTGGTGTAGGTTTTCATTCTGAAATTTATTCTGACAGTGCAGATTTTCATCCTATAAATTCATTTCTTTTTTTTTTTCCCCAAGATATAGCACAAAAAATGTGATTTGCTTGAATTTTGTTCCTTGTAAATCCTGAGAAAATTCAAAGACAAGTGAGTTTGATTAGCTGAAAATATGCTTCAAAGGGATAGAACTGAAATGGCCCGTGGCCACTATTTCTTGCTGGATAATGTCGCCTCATTTGAAGCGGTATAAAACAGATTGTCGGATTCAGAATCTAATGCTTTGACAATGCATTCAAATTCTAATGTCAGATGTTGAGAATGTGGTGATGATCTCTTGTTTTCTGGTGATTTCGTAGGGTTTGGGCTTATTAGTGAATCCGTTCAACTGTTTTGGAGTTAATCTCCTATTGGGCATCCAGAAAGTACTAGGAATTAATATTAAATTCGGTACCTAGAATTAGAAGAACGAGTAGATTTTCAAAAGGTTCAATATAATGGGGTATAACAGTTGTGTAGATTACTTGGGAACGTCTCCGAAGTCGATCGATCTATGGGCGTTTAATTATAGTTTTATTGTGAATTCAGGTAGTGCTGGTGATGTCTTGGAAGATGATCCAGTTGGAAGGTTAAAAGTTTTTGTGTATGAGCTTCCAAGCAAATACAACAAAAAAATTCTCCAGAAGGATCAAAGATGCCTTAACCATATGTTTGCTGCCGAGATCTACATGCACCGCTTCCTTTTATCTAGCCCCGTCCGAACCCTTAATCCCGAGGAAGCCGACTGGTTTTACACTCCAGTGTACACTACCTGTGACCTAACGCCAAATGGACTTCCTTTACCCTTCAAGTCGCCTCGTATGATGAGGAGTGCAATACAACTTATTGCTTCTAACTGGCCTTACTGGAATAGGACCGAGGGGGCGGATCACTTCTTCATTGTGCCACATGATTTTGGTGCTTGTTTTCATTATCAAGTAAGAAATCTCCCTCTCTATTTCTCCACAACCCGAAAAAATTTCGAAAATTAAGCCAAGAGAAATTCTCTAGATAGGTTATTTGCTATAATTGATTTTGTTATATCACTCTCAAATTTTAACCTTTACTATATGATCATAATTCATTTGTTTTTGGGGTGACGAGGGAGACCCGCAGCGACTACCCAAGGGTGTGCACTGGGTAAACCCTGCCTTGTGATCTTAGCCGGCAAAGGACCACAAGAAAGTAAACCAACCTAGGTTGCCTAATACCTTTCTCGGCCTTTTAGCTCTCTTTGTGCTCCAGTAGGTTGAGAAAGTAGCTATGAACAGATACTATATTGTAACAGAGTCAGTAGTACTCAAAAAAAAAAAACCTAGGTTGCCCATAGCTGACCGGCTCATACTAAGAAGGCTAGGATTCGAGCTCGTGACAATATCAAGATTCATTTGTTGTTGCCACATCATGTTGTTCTGGTTGCAGGAGGAAAAAGCTATTGAAAGAGGGATTCTTCGACTACTCCAGCGAGCTACCTTGGTTCAAACTTTTGGACAGCGTAATCATGTCTGCTTGAAGGACGGTTCCATCACTATTCCCCCGTATGCTCCTCCACAGAAAATGCAAACCCATTTAATCCCTCCAGAAACTCCACGATCCATCTTTGTTTACTTTCGAGGTCTGTTCTATGATGTTGGTAATGATCCAGAAGGTGGTTATTATGCAAGGTATTTATCTCACCATACCTCTAACCTATTTGGTAATGGATTATTAAAAGCTTTAACTTTTCCATTGCATTTAATTACCTTCATGGAAACACAAATGAATATTTATACTCCCTCCGTCCCATTTTGTGTCTGGTTCAGTTAACGAGGCTTGACTGAAGTTATTTTTAATTCAATTTTTCATAATATTAAGTTTAGTATTAGTATACAAAATTTACATATTTAGAAACTACACTAAAAGTACTATTAAACACAAAAAATACTCAAGAAAATAAACAAAGAAGAAAGAGCTGGTTTGACCAATGAATAGTAAGTATGACAGTTAAAATGAGACAGAAGGAGTAATAATCTTCAAAGATGGGTAAATAGACACCAACATAAAGCTAGGTTTTAGTTTTGCCTAGTTACCAAACACATCAGAGCTCGTTATCTAACATGACATGTTATTACTTTCCAGAGGTGCCCGGGCTGCGGTGTGGGAGAACTTTAAGGACAATCCTCTCTTCGACATTTCGACTGAGCATCCAACTACCTACTACGAGGACATGCAGCGAGCTATCTTCTGTTTGTGCCCACTTGGATGGGCCCCGTGGAGTCCAAGATTGGTTGAAGCAGTAATATTCGGGTGCATCCCGGTTATCATAGCAGACGACATTGTGTTGCCTTTTGCTGATGCAATCCCGTGGGAAGACATTGGAGTATTTGTAGCGGAGAAGGATGTCCCCAGCTTGGATACAATTCTCACTTCCATTCGACCCGAAGAAATACTGAGGAAGCAGAGATTGCTTGCCAACCCTTCAATGAAGCAGGCGATGTTGTTCCCACAACCCGCTCAATCAGGGGACGCTTTCCATCAAATTTTGAATGGACTTGCTCGGAAGTTGCCTCACGACAGGAGCGTCTACGTGAAACCTGGGGAAAAGGTCTTGAACTGGACCGCCGGCCCTGTGGGTGATCTGAAGCCTTGGTAGAGCCTATTCCTTATCTTCTTGGACTTTACTGATGCATTAGAACCACCATTGTGAGTAGGAGTGTAAATTCCAGTATTACAATTATGGAGGAGACAGTATTTGTTTTTACAGCAGTAGTTATAAAAGGTTTTCATGATATAATGAATATTTGCTGTTAGTTATTCAATCTGCTCATTGTAGAGTGAGTATTTGTTGGCCTCTATTAAGAGTCCAACATCTATAAAATAATATAGAACATATGGGTTTATAAGGCCATGAGTTAGACGAGATAATTGGTTGAATTTAATCTTTTAGACTAGTTATATGGGCTTAAGGGACAAGGTGTTGAATCACCACGCGAATCATGTTGATTTAGATCCAATCTTTTAATGTGGTTTGACCCATGTTCATTCTAGCCCAGGTCTAAACTGTTGATAATACTCAGCTTTTATAATGGACAACATTGACGTGGTTTTTAGTTTCTTCCTTAATGCTGTGATAAAAATTGTTCATTGTAGAGTGTTATAGTGGAATGACATAAGTCACATAACATTGGAGAGGTTAAAATTAAAAGATTAAAGTTTTTTTTTTCCCAATTATTAAGTCCTCAAAAGATAAAAACAAAATTATGTTCCATTAAGATTGGAGAGGTTAAAATTAAAACTTTCAAAAGGTTAAAGTTTTTTTTTTTTTCTCTAATTATTAAGTCCTCAAAAAAAAAAAAAAAAAAAAAAAAAAAAAAAAAAACAAATTTATGTTCCATTAACTTTGATGAGGTTAAATAAGACAAAGACAGGTTAAATACAATATATATATATATATATATATATATATATATATATATATATATATATATATATATATATATATATATATAAGAGATCATGTGTGTATGTTTAAAGCTCAAGATGCGTCACTTTTTAATTTAAAGTGCATCAGTTTAATTCTTAAGATGCGCATGTTTAAAGCTTAAACTGCATTATTTTCAAGCTTAAAGTGCTATAGCTTTAGGTGCTTACAATTTTTACAAATGTAAATAAGTAAGGCTGAGATTAGTTCTGGACTTTTCCTTTTGGAGGTGTGTTCTCGTGGAATCATGAGCCTATATATATATTAGAGCACAATTAATATTTTTCTTATTAGTTGTTCAACTATAATTAACCTAAATTTTGATGAAGGTTCACGAACAATAAAGAAGATAAGAAGGGTCCAAAAAGTGGTGGGGGGAATGAAAAGTTTGTGTGGGGAGTATGACAGCCACGCTTCCACAACAACTGTGTACACACCAATTACCTCACACCAAAATTTCTTTGTGAAACCAGCACTGGCCACTCTCTTATCTCCTCATCCCTTCCTTCTTTCTCATTCCAACAACAATAAGCAAATCTTTAGCAGATGGCACTGCGTGCACCAACCATCACCAAGTCCACCCTACTAGTCCCCACCGCCGGCAGCAATGCCGCCCTCCGGCCGCCAGACCGTGTAGCTCTTATATCTTCCTTCTCTCCTCCTGTGCATCTCTTGCTACCTCCCAAGCACACTTCTGCTGCTCCTGCTGCTTCCCCAAAGTTCTCCATGCGTGTTGCTTCCAAGCAAGCTTACATCTGCCGTGATTGCGGGTAATCTTTGGTCTTTCTTCTCCAAGTAGTTTCCCCTTTTGAATGCAATTTTGATGACTATAGATGATGAACATGATGGTGCAGGTATATTTACAATGACAGAACTCCTTTTGAGAAAGCACCTGACAGCTACTTCTGCCCTGGTACATTCACCTTCACCCTTTTAGACTTAGTTGCATTATTGTAAGTTGGGCGGAGGAAGTGCCAAGTCCAGCACCCATTGTCTCGAAAATGTGTAGCGGTATAAAGAAATAAAGTTGCGCCTGTTTTTGGCGTAAGTAGTAACCGCATGATCCTAATAAGTGGATTCAGAGCCAGGTTACCGGTTCGAGTTCCAGTAATAACATTTAAGATTGGTTGGTGCGGGAAGGGGGAATTATTGGGCGGAAGTCGGTAAAGGGCAAGTTGCCGCCTTCGCCTAGCAATAAGGGTAAACGCTTGATCCTAACATTGTATCTGTTTGTGTGCAGTATGTGGTGCTCCAAAGAGAAGATTTAGAGCATATGAGCCCACAGTGGCTAAAAATGCCAATGATACAGCAGTAAGGAAGGCTAGGAAAGAACAGATAAAGAGAGATGAAGCTATTGGGTAAGCAAGCATATACATACATTATTCCCTCTGTCCAGTTGTTCTTCACAGATCCCTTCTGAGAATTCAGCATCATATAATGAAAGAAAATTTTGATGTAATGCAGCCAAGCATTGCCCATTGCCATTGGTGTTGGAGCTGCTGCACTTGCTGGTTTATACTTCTACCTGAACAGTTCCTTCTAAGCTGGATCACAGAAAAAAAAAATGTAATTTCCACAAAGAATTGTTTATTAGTGTATCAAAATTTCAAATTCAATGTGCTTTTCAGTTCATTTTTTATTTGGGTTTTACCTTATACACTTAACAGAGTTAAAGATCTCAAATTTCCAGCATTTCTGTACAGCATATAGCTTAACTGAAACATGGCTATGGCACATTTTAACCAGACATGCAAAGATGTGAAAGTTTTCGATGCGTAAATCAACGGAAAATATATATTGATAGACTCGATATGGGAGTTTGAAATTTACATTACAATACTACAGAACAAAGTATCAATCTTGAATAACAAATGAACCCTCTATTCTTTTCTCTATGGATGGGGAAGACAACATCAAAGCGGAAAGGTCATCAAAACTAGAAGCTGGTGCAGGTTTGAACTCATATGGACCTCCCTTTACACCCCAGACCTGCAATAAGTACAGAAATTAGATACGTGTTCGTTCAAATGTTATTATAAGTATGAAAAAAAAGGGCTTTGTTTTTGTTGATGATGAATGAAATTCAAAGAATGTACCTGATTTCCACTCTCATCGTAGCCTCTATCCCAGGAATGTATCTCATTATTCTTCAGCACTGCAAGTTCTGACGTACAATATGATGCACCGTTCTGTTGTGCAAGAAAGTAAAAACGAAACTGAGTTGCAGAGCATTGGAGAACGCATTACAATCCACCAAAAAAGTAAGGTGGTTAACAAAGTTGGTGAAATGTTAGGCTGCTTTTGAGTTTTGAGGTTTAGTACAAAGTGAAAAGAGATGAACGGGAAAATACCCATGTATTAGGAAATCCATCTGCAGGTGTAGATCCTTCATATAAGCATCGCTTCCCACGCTCACAGCGTTTCAGATGAATGGTAGTCAAATGTTCAGCAATATCCTGCATTTAACCGTAATTATTCAACTAATGGATATGCACGCTAGACCTTCCTCCAAGTTAAGGAAAGGAATTATTAAAACTATCAGAAATAACTGGCATATATTATAACCAATAACTTTGTTGAAAAGTTATGATTGTTCGTCAAAAGAGAAACTGGCTAATTAGGCTTGTCCAGCCTTACTAAGAAAATTAAATATGAAACTACAGACAGAAAATGTGTTCAATGCTAAACTGGTCTATAACAACAATACATCATAAATAAAGGAAGTTGCATTTTAGCTTGATACTTACCCCAAACATGAACTATGCAATAATGTTTTACTTTCAAGTTAGACAATCATTATTTAAGGAATGTATTATTCAAGAACTTATTCACACATTTTGTATCACTTTTTTTCCTATTTCTTTCATTCTTTTCTATGAACAAGAGCCATGAAATAGCCAAAGAAATTAGATCTTCTCACATTCCAGATTCAACATTCCATGTAATTCCTAAAAACCATGAAATAACTATTCATGCTCAAAATCCCACTATTCAAATATTACTAATATCAATGCAACTATGCGAGAGAATATGACTATGTTTTAACACGAACTATAATGTTTAAATACAGCTAGTTTTATTCACAATACCTTAACTTGTCAGTTGTCACCACATTATTGCAATGCATCTTCAAGAAACTAGGTATCAAACAAAAAGCTCATCAACTACAATTGAGATTTTATATTACCCCAATAACTTCTTCAGGTTGTGGGCGCTGGTCCTTAGGCCGATCACAGAAGTTCTTGTACTCCTCTGCATCTCTGAGAGCATATGTGCTGACCTGGTAGTTCAAATATGTTAGTGACAGCAAAAATTCTTCACAAGTAGAAAATCATAAGAAACTACGGACATTAAATAACAAAAATCATGAACGGTAAAAGAAAATGAAAGAGAAGGGATAGAGTCCCACCTCAACATCACATCTCATCTCCTTTGGACAAGGCTTGACAATGCAAAATCTCTGCAATGGGATGGATAGCTTTTAGATGTCATCAGACAATCTTTACAATGACCATACCAGTTATTTCAAACAGACTGTTCCAGTATCCCACTTACCTGCCGAAAAGGCTTATGAGGTGTCCTCCAGAATGCCTAGCAACAGAAAAGATATCAATAATGCCCAGCATGGTGGCTCTTAACTGTAATCTATGGATGCCACAACTGTATCAGAATGTACAGAATTACCTGCTCAAAATATAAGACCTTCGAGCCATCTACCATGTCAGCAGCTGGGCATGAAAGCCATCTATACAGCATCATAGAAGAAACATTCAAACAGACTCACATAAGAAATAGGAGAAAGAACAGAAAGATGATATCACAACCATGATTTATCACATGGAAAAATGACTACCAACATACACAATGTTCACAACTTTGTAATTGCCCAGTGTTCTTGCTTACATAAAGGTAACAAATTGAAGTCAGGATTACAAAACTGAACTAAGCTAAGCATGTAGATTCAAGTAATAGCTACAACTACAATAGGAAAAAAAAAAAAAAAAAAAAAAAAAAAAAGAAGCAACAACCATCACATGTCCAAATTTGAAGGTTATATTGTAAGTACCCCAAAAAGGGAAGCAACAACACAGGTAAATGGAATGAATTAACAAATTGGTACCTCAAATTGAAGTAACTATCAGGGTCTCTAGCAGCTTGCTGTTTGGAAAACTAGTAATTCAAGAACAATAGTTCTGAATCAGAAGAAGCAGAAAAAAAGGTGAAAACAACAGAGCATTAGAATTGAGAAGAGAAGAAATCACCTTTTCTCCACTGAGAGACTGAGCCACAATCCCAGCATGGTCCCAACGGGTGGTGGACTTGGTGAGACGCCTAACGAGAAGTGCCCCTCCGATCAAAACCAGCGTCTTCAGCACCACCCCACGGGCTCGATCCCACCCATTCGGATTCTCCTCCGACTTGGGGTCCAAACCCGAGTCCGAACCCGTACACATACTCGATTGAACCGCACTCACCAGCTCCCCAAAACCGGATGATTCTTCACGCCATCAATCAACAACTTATACACTCTTCAACTCCAGAATTGCAAATTATATTTTCTCCTTCCGTGCGCCCTATCTCACTCTTCGTGTGAAAATTAAAAATAGAAAAACCAACCTTGTCTTAAATTTCAGAAGAGTCCAAATTTAAAATAATAATAATATAAAAAATGAAAAATCTGGAAAATTCATAAGGGGAAATTCTTATCGCAGCTGTGGGAACAAAAACAACTGAACAAGCGTCACTGAGTCATGTTCGAGTTTGGCGTATTATCGGTGGGCCCCATCGGCTCCAGCGAACCTATACCCACCGCTCCTTTTATGGCAAATTATATCGTGCACCGCGGTACATAATTATATGCACCGCACATCAAAATGACATCGCTTTGTTTAATGAAAAGAAATAGTATCCGTTTTTCGTCTTTTCATACCTTTTCCGCAAAAAGTAACTTTATTATTCAATTTCATTTTGTATACATTGCAGTTTCAGTTCAACACAACTACAGTTTCATTTTGATATGACTATAGTTTCATTCGATATTTATAGACTCAAATATGTGAAAATGTTATTTAATTTTATTTTATATACACTATAGTTTTATTAAAACATAACTACATGATCATTTTGATATAATTACAGCTTCATTGTACAATATACATTCAAATATGTGAAATGTTATTCAGTTTCATTTTATATAGAGTTAATTACCGAAATGGTCCCTTGACTATAGCGAAATTACCAGTTTGGTCCTTGACTATTTTTTTAACCAATTAAGTCCCTCAACTTTAAAATCTTAACTAATTTGGTCCTCCGTTTGTTTGACCGTTAATCAATTGTTAACTTGGGACCAAATTGATAATTTCGCTATAGTCAAGGGACCATTTTGGTACTTAACTTTAGGGGTGGGCAATTTGGTTTAGTTTTCTTGAACTGAACCGTACCAAACTAATTTGGTTCGGTAATATACCGAACAATCGAACGGTATTGAACTATTGTATACTGAACGGTTCGATAAAAAATCGATCTGAATTGTTCGATAAAAAATCGAATTGAACCGAATACCGTTGATTTTTTTTTAAAATATAATAATAATAATAAATAAATAAATAAATAAAAAGTAAATCCTAGTCCCTTACTGCTTGCTCTGTCGTTAAGCTCATATTCGATTCGGTTCGGTTTTTACGAACAAATTCAGTTCGGTTCGAGGTTTTACCGAACCGTTCGGTATACAAGAATCTATTACCGTTTGGTTGTTCAGTATATTGCCGAATCTAACTAGTTTGGTACGGCTCGGTTCAAGAAAACTGAACCGAATTGCCCACCCTTAAAGTTAATTACCAAAATGGTCCCTTGACTATAGCAAATTACCAATTTGGTCTCAAGTTAATGGTTGACTAACGGTCAAACAAACGGAGGACCAAATTGGTTAAAATTTTTAAAATTGAGGGACTTAATTGGTAAAAAAATAGTCAAGGACCAAATTGGTAATTTAACTATAGTCAAGGGACCATTTCGGTAATTAACTCTTTTATATACACTGTAGTTTGTTTTCAAAAAAAAAAAAAAAAAAAAAAAAAAAAAAACACTGCAGTTTCATTTCACCACAACTACAGTATCATTTTGATATAACTGCAGTTTCATTTGATAATATAAAAATAATACGTGAGGCCGTGTCGGTTTAGATATACTATAGTGTCAGTTGGTAATTAACATACAAAAAAATGGCGTCGTTTTAACCGCGGTCCACAACATAACGACCGTCCTTTTATTCTACCAATCGTTATATCTTGCACCAGGGAGCACAATGCATTGTGCATCCTGACTCAAAACGACGTCGTTTTTATAAGTTGTGTGGGGAGTTGACGCGGCGGACACCGTTCCTTCCGTCCAATCCCGTTACAGTTTTTTTTTTCAAACACTTGTGTTTATGTGTTTCTGTTAATAGTTTTTGTGGATTATGTTAGAAGTTTGTGTATTCTACTATATCTACTATACTAATAAGAGCCCAAGAGAGTTAGGCCTATAATGGGTAGAAAAAATGGCGGTCAAGTTTTTTAATCAAATGAATGGCTCAGATTGATCAGATTTTAATTTTTTCTTAAGATTTACTAATTTATCCTTAATGAATATGCTTATCCGTTAACTTTTCCGTTAA